CACCCCTGGGCGAAGGCCGTGGGCAGGGTCCCAGGCACCGGCCCCCAGCGGCCCCTCTGCCGTCTCTGCCCCTTCGGGTGGCACGCACCAAGAAAACGATCCTGACTGCCTGGTTCCATCTGCAGCGAGGGGCCATCACTTCCAGCTCGTGTGTCCTAGGCAGCGCCCTTCGTTTTTGGCCAAGCAGTATTCCGGTAACTTCTGTTCGCCACCGCATTCTTTCCGCCCTCTCTGCGGGCGGCATCGGAGGCCGCGGCCTTGGTGTCCAGCTGCAGCAGTGTGGGTGTCTGGGGTGTTCTCTGCCACCTCTAGGCTCTGTTCTTCCTGTCAGCCGTTTCTGCTTTGGAGTTTCCCTTCTCTGTCTCATTCTGCACATTATACTTCTGCAAGGGTCCAGGGCGCCCCAGAAGCAGAAATGGTGACTCCAGCTTCCCAAAGGGAGAAGATGAGTCAAGAAAAGGGGTGGGGGGGCCGGGGATAGGACTCGTACTGGGCAGACGCTGAGGAACTGAAAGAACCCAGCAGCGGAGTGATGTCTTCCTCTCCCCACCCCCATTTCCCAGCAGATTGTATGATACAAACATGTTAAAAATCCTGGCCGGGTGCGGTGGCTCATGCCTGTCATCCCAGCACTTTGGGAGGCCGAGGCAAGAAAATTGATTGAGTCCAGGAGTTTGATACCAGCCCGGGCAACATCACGAGACCTTGTCTCTACAAAAAGTAAAAAACAATCATCCAGGCATGGTGGCTCACGCCTGCAGTCTTAGCTGCTAAGGAGGCTGAGGTGGAAGGACTGCCTGACCCCAGGAGGTCGAGGCTGCAGTGAGCTGTGATTGTGCCATGGCGCTCCAGCCTGGGCAACAGAGGGAGATTCCAACTTAAAAAAAAAATCTTAACTGGATGTTATCACTTGCATATTCATCCCTGCATCCAGGTCTTCTTGGGTCCCCACCCCTGGTGGGTCCTCTGTAAGGGTAAGAGATGAATACGACTTTTGATAGACCTTTTTTTTTTTGAGTTGGAGTCTCACTCTGTTGCCCAGACTGGAGGGCAGTGGCACACTCCGGACCACCGCAGCCTCAACCTGCTGGGCTCCGGCGATCCCTCCACCTCAGCCTTCCAGGTAGCTGGAACTACAGGTGCACACCACCATGCCCGGCTGATTTTTGATTTATTGTAGCGCCAAGGTCTCGCCAAGTTGCCCGGGTGGGTCTCGAACCCGCGGACTCAGGCAATCCACTTGCCTCGGCCTCCCAAAGTGCTGGGATGACAGGCTGAGTCACCGAGCCCGGCCTTGACAAGGCTTCTTATTCTCTGCAAGCTCAGACTCTGAGTGGAAGAAAAAGGCTGCTCCCCTCAGTGTGGTGCAGGTGAAGACTGTATAGAAAGGGTGGGAGAAATGATATATAGTACAACATTGACACATGGGATGTGGACAAAATAGCAATTTCAGAAATGAGAGCTGAGAACAAAAAGGCCTAGAGAGGCCGCATATGCTTCTGGGGTTCATTTTAGAATGAACCCTGTCCCTGTGCCCTATCAGACTTGGTGGTGCATGGCAGTTTGGTTAGCCTCCAGGCATGTATGGCCCTGCAGAGGATCGTAAACTTTGATATAACAAGGCTCTCCTGCAGTTTCAGGGGCTTCGGGAAGGAGAGCCAGGCTGCCAAGAAGGAGACCTGGCAAAGCAAAGAGAAAGGCCTGAGTCGGGGATTTTTTTGACATCGGAACTCACCTCGGTGGGGACGTGCTCAAGGATCCTTTGTTCTCCTAACAGCAATGACAGCAGTTGTGTATGCGCCAAATGTTGAGGGCCTCCGCCAGGGCCCAGGCCACGAGCTGGCTGCTGGAAGAAAGAAGAGGTGCACAAGGCTTTTAGGTCGTGGGAGGTGTGACCTGCTAGAAGAAATGGACAGAGCATTACAGTGCGATGGGGTGTGTGTGTCGTGGAGCTGGATACAGGAAGGAGTGCTCAAGGCTTTGGGGGGAAGGACGTGGGAGCCCTTCACAGACAAGGTGATGCTTCAGCTCAGTTTTAGAGGGAAGGAGATCAAAAGAACAGCCGAGGGCAAGGCATAGATTTGAGAGGGCACACTGTTTTAAGGAGCCGTGAAAGGCTTGCCCTGACGCTGTGGGTGGGTGTGTGTCTGGTGCCGTGGCTGGGCACAGGGACAGGGTGGGTGTCAGGGGCGGGGCAGGGGGCGGGCGAGATAGAGTTGTAAAGGAGGCTGGGACCAGACTCCCGGACAGCACCTGGTTAAAAGCTACTCCTAGACCAGGAGTGGTGGCTCAGGCCTATAATCCCAGCACTTTGGGAGGCCGAGGCAGGACTGCTTGAGGCCAGGAATTTGAGATCAGCCTGGGCAACATATTAAGATCTTGTCTCTATAGAAACAAAAATCTAGCCAGGTGCAGTTGTGCACGCCTGTACTCCCAGGTACTCAGGAGGCCGAGAAGGAAGGATTGCCCAGGTACTCAGGAGGCTGAGAAGGAAGGATTGCCCAGGTACTCAGGAGGCCGAGAAGGAAGGATTGCCAGGAGGTTGAGGCTGCGGTGAGCCATGGTGGTGCCACTGCACTCCAGCCTGGGAGACAGAGTGATACTTGACTCAGAACAACAGTAACAACAACGACAACAAAACCCTCACTCCTCTCACTCCCAGATCTGCTGGGTAGGTTGCACCTTGCTGCAGACCACCCAGGATGTCTGGGATATGACCGCTTTATTAAACGACAGTCTCACTTAGTGACCAAATCTGGCTCTTTACTGGTGCCGGGGGAGGCCTCTGGGAAGGAGGGATTTGGGAAGGGGTGGGTGGTGGTAGAACAGGCAATCTTATAGTGCTTTTTCATGTTGATGTGCAGTCAGAAAAGTCATGCTGGAGAAAAGGTTCAACTATTAGGTTCACCAATAATGATGCGTAACTTTGCAGGAAAATTTCGTTGAGTGTTTTTCGAAAGAGTGTGTAAAAACCATAGTTTAGATGCTTCTTAAAATAAGTGTATCAGTGCAGAGCAGGTGAAAAATTCTCTCCTGCCCCCTTTTAATTTTCCCAATCAAATTGTACTGCAAGAAATACAGAATGCCGGCAGTTCCTTTCTCCGTTAATTAAAATTATTTGTTCAGTATCTTCTAGGTGCCAAATACACTCTTAGGCTCTAGTAAGAACAGTCCAATCGATTTAAACCTTACATCTTTAGATATTTATGAGTGGAAATGTGAATTGTCATGGACCAGGAACCTCATCTCAGTGGTTCGGAATTCAGACCGAAGCAAATGAGACTGACATGAAAAAAGAAATAAAATAAAAGTTCTTGGAAGCTTGCATTACCAAACAACATATCCAATGGCAAATCCGTAAATAACAAGATATATTTAAGTCCATTAAAATCAAACAACTCAGGAGGAGGGAAACATAACAAGAATACCCCAAACAATAGAATTAGAGGTTAATTTGCTGTAAATTAATTTGAATCTCATGATTGCCTTGCTTGCCAAGTGGTATTTTTCTTGTGGTCTAATGGGATATGCCTTTCCCTGCCTTTCCTTTCTGCTGCCAGCTTTCACATGTAGGAAAGCACATTTTATGCTCTCTCCGACTTGTGACTTTACCATTACCAGCTGACACCAATATTTGCTGACATCAACTCACTTTGTTCTTTACGGATCAGATAGCTGGAGGCGGATGTGCCTTTATTTTCTTTTCAAGATGCACAGCGAACCTGAACTTGAATGCATTAACCAGCAGTGAAGCTTGCCACAGCCCCTTTCTGGGACTTCAGATTTGACAGGCGTGAAGGGGTGAGTTTTACACCTTCTCTGAATCTGGAGACAGTCCTCCCCAAAGTGGCCGAGGTGGTCAGGTGCAGGAAGACACTGGAACTCGGGCCCACAGTGGCCTAAGGATTATTCTGTATTTATCTGGCTAATCTTTGCTGAGCAGGTGTGAGCCTATTAAATATTCTAGCCGCCCCCTCCCCCCCTTGGCTTAGATTATATAGGGATTCTATGTATTGTTTGATCTCAAGCAGAGAAGCCCAAACGGCGTGGGCCAGTCTGGATGTCATTGTACTCGCATGGGCAACCTTCTACAGGGGTGGCCTAGGCAGATACCCCGGGATCAACTGGCTCACCCTTTTTCTTCCACAGGGATCCTAAAGTTAGAGCATCCTGGCATGGCTTGGAGGGCAAAGCCAAAGGGGTCACAGGCCCGTTGAATCATTGGGGCCACGAAGGAGCCTTGAGTGCCGTTTTAAGGGACCAGACTCTGGCTAGGAAGTCAGGACGCTCATGTTGTTTTTAACTGACTCCGGAGGCTTTCTCCATGACTCGGTTTCCCTTTCCTTTGAGATACAAGCTCTCGTTTTCTTTCGTTTCTCCTCTTCACAGCGCATCCCGCTCTCTGCTTCACTATGCAGAGTGGGGCACTGCCAATTCTTAGGGTACCCGGGGCTCTGCTAGCCCCAGCAGCTTCCCCTCGACGGTTCTGCAGGCGCCAGGAAAATGCATCCTCCCTCTCTCGACCCCCTCGTGCGTCGGGGTGGGCGTGACTGTGAACGGCCCCACGGGCCGCGGCTGCAGCCGCGCCACCGACGGGTTCCCGGTGGCCCGGAGGCACAGAAGGCCGCCTCAGGGCGGGGTTTCCCACACCCGGCAGCCGGCTGCAGCCACCCCGGATGCCTCCCTTCCAGACTCGGAGCTGGAAGGGCTGCCTTCGGGCTCTCACTTCCCGCAGCCCGGCGCCCGCCCC